CGGTCAATAATCTGGACCGGTACCTCATCGTACGTCATGTCGTCCTGTGTCGGGACGTCATACCATTGCACTACAGCTTCCGGATCAGGTTGACATTTCCGAAACATGGAGACATGGAACACGTCATGCACATGAGATAATTCAGGCGGCAGGGCAAGACGATACGCCACAACACCGACTCGCTGCACGATCAGGAATGGTCCAATATACCTTGGCGCAAGCTTCCCTTTCACACCAAACCGAGTAACTCCCTTACGTGGGGAAACCTTCAACAGAACAAGGTCGCCTTCTTGAAATTCCAACGGCCTACGCCTTCTGTCAGCATAGCTCTTCTGTCGACTTTGAGCTGTCAACAGTCGTTCCCGAATCACAGCTATCTTCTCATTATTCTCTTGAATGACTTCCGGCCCAGTGCTCAGTCGATCCTCTGGTTCCAACCAACACACAAGTGACATACAACGACCATACAACGCCTCGAACGGTGCCATACCGATACTGGCCTGATAGCTGTTATTGTAAGCGAACTCAGCTAGATGCAGGTATTTCTTCCAGTTTCTACCAAATTCCAGAATACAAGCACGAAGCATATCCTCCAGAATCTGAATGACTCTTTCAGATTGTCCATCTGTCTGAGGATGAAATGCGATGCTAAAATTCAAATCTGTTCCCATGGCTTCCTGGAAACTCCTCCAATACCGTGCATTAAAACGCGTGTCACGATCATATGTGATAGACAGTGGCACTCCGTGTAACCTCATGATGTGCTCCAGGTACAATTCTGACAGAATCTTCCGAGAGTACGTCGCACGGAACGGTATGAAGTGCGCGGACTTCGTTAACCTGTTAACCACCACCCAGATGGCATCGTGCTTCAGCTCGGTTCTCGGTAGCCCTATCAGAAAATCCCTGGTGATGTGCTCCCATTTCCATCAAGGGACAGGAAGAGGTTGCAACTCTCCCGCTGGCTTCTGGTGCTCAGCTTTAATCCGGAGGCAAGTCACACATTCTGAGACATACTTACGGACGTCTCTTTTCATGCCTCTCTACTAGTACTATCTTTTCAAGTCCTGGTACATCTTGATACTACCCGGATGAATGGAGTACCTCGATTTGTGAGCTTCATGCAGAATCGCTTTCTTTACCTCACCCACCTTAGGAACAGCAAGGCGGTTGCGGAAATACAAGGCTCCATCCTCCCGGATTCTCCAATTCTCGAATTGTTCTCCATTCTGGATCCGAATCCAAATCCCTTGGAGGTGGGGATCCTGCCATTGATTCTGCTTAACTTGTTGCACAATGTCCGGTGTAGAGACCAGATTATACACCATAGCCTGGTTACAATCTTCGTAGAATTGAAGATCATACTCACCCAGAGTCCCCGTCGTCTTCCTGCTAAGGGCATCAGCCACCACATTAGTTTTTCCAGGATGATACTGGAGAGTGAAGTCGTAGTCTTCCAAAGCTAATGATGCCAGAGTCCCCGTCGGCTTCCTGCTAAGGGCATCAGCCACCACATTAGTTTTTCCAGGATGATACTGGAGAGTGAAGTCGTAGTCTTCCATGTACTCCACCTATCTCCTTTGCCTGAGATTCAAGTCTTTCTGAGTAAACAAGTACTTCAGACTTTTATGGTCAGAGAAGACCTGAAACTTTGCTCCATAAAGATAACATCTCCATATCTTTAGAGCAAATATCACCGCTGCCAGCTCCAAATCATGAGTGGGGTA